TCTAATCCTAACTGCCGCTACGCTCACCTCCCGATCCCTCTGCCGTCCGGCAAGCCCTGTGGCCAAAAACACACCGCGGCAGAACATAAAAACACGGCGCATTGACTATCTTCCGTATCCGGTAGCCCTGTGCCGGTCTCTTCCGAGTCAGAAGATGAGTCGAGCTACGCTGATGCCGCTGCAGGTCCTGCATCCTTGCCTAGTCACAGCGCCGCTGCTGCACCGGCACCTGCGGCCCCGTGCAACACAGCGTTCCCGCCTGCAGCCCCGCGCTCCGGCCGTGCACAACTGTCTCTCACATCAAACAGACCATTCATGTCCGTGAACCATGGTCCCGCCTCTGCCAAGGAACCGGCACGCCCGACACCGCCGGGCGTTTGCGAGCAACCGGTTCTGCTTTGTTCTCTGCCTGGCAAGCCCATCATGCCTTGCCCGCCCCGATTTTCGCCGGCACGCTCGGTCGCCCCGAGCGTACGTGAGCAACCGGCTGCCGCTTCTGGTCTGGACTCTGCTTCTCTTTCTCACCACTCCCAGCCGGCACGCCCGGTCACCCCGGGTGTTTGTGAGCAACCGGCTTCTGACTTATCCAGCCCTTCACCGGCCCCGCGTGCTTCACAGGTTGGCCTCGGGTCTCACTGTCGCCCTATCCCAGCTGTCCGCATGTTTCTGGACCTGTTCGCTGGGTCCTCGGCCCCCGTTCACAGCGCCGTCCGCCAGCTCCTACTAGCACGCATGGAGCCGGTGGATCTTCTGACTGGTTCTGCCCTGGATGTGTCGGAAGACGTCACCTACGCTGCACTTTGTCGGTTGTGTGCTTCCGGCCTAGTTGGTGCCTGCTGTGCTGCACCGCCGTGTTCGGCCTACTCTCGCGCGCGTTTAGCAAAGCCGGGTCCCCCGCCAGTGCGCACGCCGTCGTTCCCTTTGGGTCTGCCCAACCTTTCCCCGACGCAGAGCTCGCTATGTCATCACTGCTGCACCAACGCACACGCCACCTACTTTCCCTCGTGGCTGCGCGTGGCGGCATCATCTTTCTAGAGAATCCATCTACTAGTTTGCTCTGGCTGGATCCTCAAGTCATGGCCTGGGTCCGCGCGTTTGCCCCGTTCGGAGCGTCAGTTGCCTCTTGTGCCCATGGCCTGGACTACAAGAAATCTTGGCTGTTCTGGTGTAACCGGCCATCAGTGGCTGCTCTGGCATCCGTGTGCCCGCATGTGCCCGCTCACTGCCGATGGGGTTTTCCTCACCAGAACAACGGCTTGTTACCCGCCCTCCCTGGCCAGTTCCATCGCGTCCCTCTGCATCCCATTCGTATCTATTGAGGACCGCGAGTATACACTATCCGCGTGGGCGGACTTGTTGCCCGCTCGCCTGCCCTGGCCAGCATATCCCTTCCCGGTGGAGGATGGCGCTGGCACAGGCAGTACCGCCTGTCACACTCGCCCACAAAGTGACGACCACTTCAAAACCCTGCGCCATGCTTGGTCTGCCCGCCTGGCCCGCACCGGCCTAATTCCCAAGATAGTCACCGCGTTGTCTTCCGGAGCTAAAACCGCGCCTTTGTCCGAAGTCGAGCTTGCCCCGTTCTTCCTAGACCTGCGAGAATTCCTGCAAGTCCGCCAGGATGATACTTGGGCCACACTAATGTCGATAGACGAGGGCCAGCCATTCCGCCTGTCTCTCTGGCATACACTTTCCCTTATCTTCAAAGACGCTGATGCTGACTTGTTTCCTCACTTGCATGCGGGTGTGCCTTTGGGTTTCTCCGCTCCTATCCCTAAGTGCCCGCTCCTGCAAGCCTCTCACACGTCTCCCCATGCGGGAACAGAGCTCCGCCATTGTGAGTCCGCCTGGAAGTCTGCGCTAGACAACGCTGAGATTGTCGACGAATTGCTCCAGGAAGAACTGCGTGCCGGCTGGATAGTGGAGGTTTCTGGGGGTGATGCCGAGTTGAAGCGTAAGTATGCACACACTGCTGTCGGCAAGCTGGGGGTGGTGCTTGCCGAAGGCCGCCCGCCGCGTCTGGTGGTCGACAGCTCCATTTCTGGCGTTACTGAAGCGACGCACTTGCCCAACCGTTCCGCCAATCCGACCCTGATTGTTATTTGCTGCTTGTTGCCAATTTCCGATGCCCGTGAGCGCTTGGTCGCCCTTGTGTTAGATGTGAGCAAGGCACATCGCCGCCTCAAAATCTTGCCTGCAGACCAAGGCCTGCTGTGCTTTCGCCATCGTGGCCGCCTCTATCAGTGTAAAACCTTGAACTTTGGTGCACGTGCGTCTAGTTTTTACTGGGCCCGTGTGGCTGGCCTGCTTGTCCGCCTCGTTCACCGCTTCTGGTGGGTCAGCCACTCTGCCCTGATTTACGTGGATGATCTGATTTCCATCCTTGAGAAATCATCGGCCCCGCTACTTGCCGCTCTGTTAGTGGTTCTGCTTCAAATATTGAATGTGCCGATGAGTTGGCATAAAGCCAAACTTTCTGCCTCGGTCATTTGGATCGGATGGCAGTTGGACTTCCGCACGTTCACTGTCCGTCTGGAACCGGCCAAACTTCAACGGTTGCTGGCCCTGCTCCGACAGTGCTACCGCTGCACGAAGTTGTCAGCCACCGCGTTGGAAAAGCTCACTGGCAAGCTGCTCTGGCTCTCCAACCTTTTCCGTGCATTCCCGCCGTCCCTTGCACCGCTGTATCAGGACCAATACTGCCCTCCGCTGGTACATGTGGCCCTGTCTGTGCAAGCTTGGGAACGCCTGCAATCCGTGCTCTCCAATGACCTCCGAGTTATTGGTCCTTCAGGTCTTGCGTCCGCCCCATTAGGCAGCCGCTTGTTCCGTGTGGCCCAGACCGCTGTGCTGACTAAGGAAGAACTGCCTCAGTTTCCGCCGTCCGCTCGGCGTCTCTGGGTCCAGATCTCCGACCTCGCGCACCCTGACAGAGTCGTCTCAGACGCCTCACGTGCCGTGATGGACATGTGGCTCCAGATCTGCCGCTCTGGGACCGACTTCAAATCTTTGTTGCTGTCACCTCACTTTGACTGTGAGGCCTTCGCTGACGCATGTGCTGACAGTTCTTCCGCCGGTCTGGGCGGGTTCGTTCGCCTCCCTGGGGGTCAAACTCTTTTTTTCCAGGTCTCGTTCTCCCAAGCGGAGCTTCACTCACTGTTTCCGTGGTTCCCGCCCGATCATTCACCTCAGCATTACATTGCAGCCTGGGAACTTCTTGCTCAATGTGCTTTACTGCACCTTCTAGCCTGCCTGCTGCCCGAGGGACATCCGCCTCTGCATGTCACGTTTCGTTGTGACAACTCCGCAACGGATGCCGCGTCCTGGAAAGGTCTTTCGCTCGCCACGGGCATGTGCAGCCTGCTGCGCTCCTTCTTTCTCCTACAGGAAAGGCAGTACATTTCAGTACATATAGACCACGTCCCGGGGTTCAGGAATGACCTGGCAGATGGTCTTAGCCGCGGCTATGACGCCCAACTTCTGGGTTTCTCCGACTCCGCACGCTGCCAAGTCCCTTGGTCCGCTCTGCCCTCATCCTTCTCTTGTCATACGTACCCCCTGGAGCTGGATCTCTCCGATTGGCTGGCGTCTGCTTGAAGAATGCTGGCCTTGTTCCCCCTTCGGGTCAAGCGTGCCGCCTGAAATACTTGGTGCTTTGGACCAGCATTCTGTTCACCTTTCTTGCCCGGGTGCTTCTGCCCGCAGGCTGCTTAGCTGAAGCACCGCCAGGGATTCTTCTGCCAGCGTGTAAAAAGAAAGGGGTGTGCGTGGTTCTTCCTTTTTCACGTGTGCAACTGAACATTCGTAACGGACTAGTGCGGGTAGTGAACGTGGCTGTACGTGTACAAGTGTGTTTGCTGCCCGCACGCAACGGCACAGCATGTTCCGCCTGTTCATCCCCCGCCCGCCTGCTGTGTAGCTGCTGGCTCGACAGGCGGATTTATTCTGTTCACCTTTCTTGCCCGGGTGCTTCTGCCCGCAGGCTGCTTTGCTGAAGCACCGCCAGGGATTCTTCTGCCAGCGTGTAAAAAGAAAGGGGTGTGCGTGGTTCTTCCTTTTTCACGTATGCGACTGAACATTCGTAACGGACTAGTGCGGGTAGTGAACGCGAGCTATTCAGGCGCGAGGTCCCCCAAAAAGCAGGATGCTAGTTGAATACGTTCTGGCGCGAGCTATGTAGGCGCGAGCTATTTGGTCGCAGTGGAAACCCTAGCCATTTGGTCTCAGGGGAAACATCTGACGTGTTTGTGTTTTTTCTCCAATTTGCTTGCATTGCGAGAGCAGCAAGCGCTTTGTGGGGTGGAAAATCTGGCACGAGCTATTTGGTCGCTGACGCAAGCTATTTGATCGCTGGCCCGAGCTATTTGGTCGCAGGGGAAACATCTGGCGCGAGCTATCGGTCGCAGGGGAAACATCTGAGGTATTGTTATTCCAACTCTGCTTGTTCCGTGAAAAGGTGAAGAGGTTTGGGCACAGACCTGCGCGGAGCCCTGGATTTTTGCTTTTGGCAGTCAAAGACTCCAGTGCGGACTGTGGAAAACACCGAGAAAGCGTGCACTGATTGATTTCCGGGCACTTGGGAATTGCAAAGACTTGCAAAGAAGCAACAGCCGTCATGCCTCGGAGCCTCGCATAGCAAGTTGGCCATTGTAGGGGGGCAGCGGGGAGCTCGGGTGCGAGCTATTTGGTCATCACGGCGCAGATGGATGCGCAACCGGGTAGACTTGAGGCCGCAATCGAGCTCTGGGGTCGGCTGGTGTCTTTGTTTTGCAACGCTTGAACTTGCATGTTCAACTGGCTTGTTGGCTCACACAGCGCTAGATAAGAGGCAAGTTTAATGCTGGCTTGTCCACGATGCGCAGAAGGCACATCATCACATTTAGCCGCATTGGCTGCCAGAACATGGGTATGCATGGGTACTAGTCCTGTTGTTTTCGCCACTAAACTAACTAGCAGATGTGGGGGTTGACAGACAGTATTTATTGGGGTAGACGCACGCGATGGTCTACTTCGAGTGCGGGCTGTTGCGTACTCATGCTTCGATTGACCAATGGCCTTGCAACACCCTGCTTTTCCAGCTGAGGTGCAACGAAACTGTGTCGTGGCAGCAACATTTTCGGGATAGATGCGTGTGAAGGCATACCTGACAGCAGGTTGCTGATGGGCTTTTGTAGCTGCCGTTGCTGAAGCAAGACACAGTTGTTGGCAACATGTCGAGGAGTCTTTGTCTGACAGCCCGTGTTAATCGGGAACTGAGTGTTCAGTACCAAGGTCAAAAAGCCCAAGTTGGCCAAGCATCTGCAAAGACGCATCCTCAAGAGGGATGCGTTTGCATCTTGAGTTTGGGACAGTTCTTGCAGTGCTACCGGAAAACCGTGTGATGTGAATATTTAAGGATGTGGAAGTCACACAGTGAGCTGCATCGATTGTTCCAAGGCCTTGCATTGCATAGCGCAAGGAAGCATTCATCTGCCCATTCACCTGCCTTGGGTGGCAGGTTTTTGCTTGGAATGAATGGGAAAGCCATACCAGTTGCATGTCAGAAGCGCAAAAGTACCAGGCCTTGGGATGTCAGACGAGCTGTGTGTTGAGAAAGAAACACCTTGCGGAGCGTCCACCATTTGTTGTTGTTTTTCCAAGGGGAACCTTTATCAAGGCAAAGAGCCCGCGCCCAAGCAATGTCGGATTACCCGTTGCCCACCATACGGCACACAGCTTCGGTCGAAGTTAAAGTGAGAAAGTGTTCTTTCAGGAGCAGCAACAAAGGGCAGGTCAAGCAAGACACTTGGGTCCTCGGCCGAGTTTCTGTTTTCTTGCGAATTGGCTGGATCATTTGAGTGTTGTTGGGTCAATGTTCCAAGAGTACTTGGACAGTCCAGGTTGATGGAGTGCGGCGAGCAATCGAAGACCCACAGACGGACGTCGCTCCCCACATAAGGCTTCGCTGGCGTGCTGTGCGGCAGGCTTGTGTGTAATTCTCGTGTTGAGTAATCATGCGCCAGGAGTTTGGTCCAGAAGTTGTTGGGCTCCTTGGCACAATGATAGTCTGAGTTTGACTGCAAGTGCGTGAACTTGTGAAAGGGTTTCGTGCGCATGCGCAGTGCCCAGTTTTAACTCGAAACTCGCGGTAGGCGTATTGCTTAGACAGAGGCTCATCTAGCTGTGCATCACACAAGTAGTTTTGAGTAGGTATCAAAATCAGGCCTGTGAAAGTTGTTAGACAAGTCTGAGGTCATGAGCTCGACGCCAGTATACGCCAGTATTGCATCAAACACCATAGACTCCAAAGCTACAGCATGCGTCACGAATCAATGTTAATCTTGTTGCATCAGTGAGAGAGAGAGCGTTGTTGCTACTCAGGTTTTGATAACATCCCCAGAAAACAGAAGCCATTTGGTAACTTCGCGCAGCCCTCAGCATATCATGCAGTTTGTTTGCAAACCTGTGGCTTCTCAGCTCAATACCATAGTGTAAGTATATTTCTGAATCCGGCTGGCATGACTTAAGGTCAAGAACTCCCTCAAAATTTGGGACCAGTCGAAGTCGGCGTCCCAGAGTGTTTCAATGTGCACATGCCCGTTGACTCAAAGCACTTCGCTTGACGAACCTTTGCCCAGGATTGATGCCATGTGGAATGTTGTGGCCTCTGCTAGTTCCAAGCCTGATGGAAAGCCTCCTGGTAAAGCAGGCGTGTTCCGGGGCTTGAGTGAATTGGTGCTCAGACAGTCAAGTGGCTTTCTCTGGGATCCTCTTTTGAGGGATGCGGAAGAGGCAGCTGCAACCATGTATGTGTTTGCAGCGCCAACAGTTTTTTTTTTTCATCGAAGGCTTGGGAGATCTTTCGCATTGGGAGATAGACACTGTTGCGGCTGGGAGTTCGCATCATCAGATGCGAAGGGCTCGTGGATCCCGCGTGAAAGCCGCCAGGACAAGCTGTACCTGAGCCGGGGAAGCCTCCCGCGAAGGAGGCGAAAAGCTGGCCAGGCCAGCGCTTTTGTGTAGAGCGGCGGCTGACATGAATCTGTCCAAGCTCCAGGTTGGAAGCGGGCCATTGATGATGAATTGACAGTTGGCGCAATGCCCTGGAAGCGACTGTGGCATCCCCAGTTGAAGTTCTTCATCTTTGCAAGCACTTCTGAAGCACAGTTGCGCTCCGAGGTGTGTGCGTGTCGTTCAACGATATCTTGCAAGTGGTAATGCTGGTGACAATGATGAGCTTGAGCTGAAGGCGATCGCACGTGACTTCTGTGCCCGGACTTGTCACTGATGTTACGGCTAAACAATGTACTTGAAAACTTCAGCTGTTTAGGACAACTTGGAGAGTGTTGAGAGCAGTGCAGGCTTTAAGCAGCATTCCCGAGGGCGAGCCCGCCCTGTCTTCTCATCATCAGCCAATGGTAATCAGTTGTTTGCAGGAGGGCTCCCAACACATTTGCCACATCTGTCACGTGCTGTCAGATTACTGCTGTGCGAAGACCCCGAACGCCCAGCACTTATGATCTCGGAGCGTCGGAGACTTCGGAAACCGCAGAGTGATTTGCAAGCGTGCCATGAGGTCCAGCTTAGCGGCAGCTCAGGGTAGGAGTGCTTCCTTTGTCTGCGCGCCAAAAGAGGTGCCAAGTGGTGTGCATCTGGGAGCACTTCTCGTTCGTGGAATATGTCGCATCTAGACAGTTGAGTTTCATGGAGGGTATGTTGCTGGAAACTGGCATGTGCTGTTGTGAAGACATGTGAAGACGTGCCCCGCAGCAATTCTGCTTTCAAATTGACGGGCTGCAGGCCGGCCCGCTTTGCCATGGGACCTCGACAGCTGCACACATTTTTGACCAAGAAGGTGGTACCTCGGCTCGGTGATATCTGTTTAGGCCTAGGCCCACCCCTTGCCCACCCCATGCCCATACCATGCCTACCAAATTTGCCCTAGAGAACGCTGACATGACGTGAATTGACATGACGTGTTTTGATGTGTTTTTTTGCGTTGTTGTTTCGCTAGTTGTTTTTGTTTTTCCCCTTTCGAGGCGCCTGAGACCCTGGACGTCGATGAGCTCAGAAGCCATGGTCCAGTTCTTCTGGTCGCCGACTTCCATGCCTTTACGTTCTGGCTGCTTGAGTCCTTCGAGAATGAGACTGCCGCGTCGGACCTGGCACATGTCTCTTCCTCGGCCGAGCGGCGTGTGACTGGGCTCCGCGAGCGCGGTGTCTGCCTGGACTTTGTGGAGGATGGTGCTGCAGGCTACAACGGAGTTGAAGAGATGGAATCCAAGTTGCCAGAGTGGCGATCCCGATTTGCGCAGCGGCAGACGGACAGAGCGAAGCTGAAGCGGTTTCTGGAGGGCACGGACAGCGATCCAAAGCAGGTCCACAGCGGGCCCCTCTTCGTTGATGCGGTTCGAGCCGGAGTTAGGAAGGCTGGCGCCAGAATCCAACTGGCCCAAAGAGAAGCAGACCCTGAGTGTGTTCGTGTCATGGAAGAGCGAAATGCACTTGCCGTGCTGGGCAACGACACGGACTTCGTCATCATGAAGGGTGGCAGCGGTTGTTTCGGGATGTGTTTTTATGTGCTTTGCATGTGTTATGATTGTTATTCTTGGTGCCGAAGTCGGGCCCTGCTCAGCCTGGGCATGTCAGGTGGCCGGCTGGTGACCTTCCCGAATCTGGATCCTGAGGCTGCTGTCCTTCCCCTGCGGAGAGCTGAGGAGCCTGGGATGTTGGAACTTTCTAAACCTTGGCAAGCGAGCTCCGGGCTGGCCATGTGCGGATTTGAGCAGGACTGTGTAGGACCGTATTAGGACTGTTGTAGAACTGCGAAGAAGGCTTGGTATTTTGCTCAGCAGCCTTTCGCTGCTGTGACGTGTGATCCTGTTGGTCACGCTTCCAGCATGCAGTGATGCTGTGGTACACTGAAGCGTGTAGACGCGCACTTTGCAAAGTTTAGAGCCGGCAGAAGTGTGGTCAGCGCAACAGGAGAGCAATGGCCGCAACGAACGCAGATTTGTTCTCAAGGCCCCGATCCCGTCAATTGCCTTGCAGTGGAGACCTGCCTTGGCTCCTTTTTGCCTTTCAGCGAAGGGTCTCTCTACGAATGGCAAGAGCAGTGAACACGCTCTTATTAAGCTTCTCTGCTCCGTTTGCCCTTTACAGTAGGTGGTTCGAATCTGCAAGTGACACAGTGTCCGTATCCCCTCAATACTGGGAAGACAAGAAAGCTCGCGTTAACAAAAACGGCAACAACAGCAGCAACATAAACATCAGGAGACAGACCATGGCAATGACAAGAACAAGAACAACAATAATAACAACAACAGTAAGAAGTATAGTCATCATCTTAACTAAGATCAGAAGATAAGATAGATAGCAAGAGGAAGGCGAACATTTAGCAACGACAACGAAGCAGCAACAACAGCCATAGCCATCAACGGCAGCACCAACATCAAGAGCAACAAGAGCAGCAACAACCGCAGTAGCCTGGGACATCCTGGGACCCTCAGCTTTGCAGTCAAACAACAGTCCAACAACAGTCAGACCTTCGCTGGGACAACTGCTGCATTTGTTTGTGCTGGCCAATCGCGAAGCATCTTCCCACGTAGACCTCCAGTCTGGAAACGGTTTTGCTGCAGGTCTGGACGCGCCAAGCCCTAGCGAGGGCTTTGGCTGTCCCTGAGGAGCCTGCAATTCTGAAGTATGACACATCTTTGATGGAAGTGGTTACATCCAGGGATGGCATGAGCAAGGCATTACCAGTTAGTGTGAAAGTGTGGAAGTCTTGCTTGTGTTGTGATTGTGATCCTTAGTGCAGTCATGTCCTCGACTGTCAAAGTGCGCTTGTTTGTAGTTTCGGTCTTCGGTTAGATGATTGACTGTGCTCACATGTGCTCATTCACCGGTCATGACTGTTGCCAGAGGAGCTGTTACCGATGTTAGCTGCACTCTGCGGCAACGACCATTCGCGGCAACTCATCGAGAAATGCCGACGGCGCGGCCTGCCAGGCCCGTACGCATATGTAAGCATCACTGGAATTTCAGCTGACAGGTGAGCCCGTGGTTTGTAGGGGCTTTAATAGAGAGTCCGGGACGTGACAAACTCATGACACCCAAGGTTTACTGGCCTTGCCTGCAACTCGTCTTGTGCTGTTTGCTGCGCCTTTTGTCACAGTTCACGCTAGCAGCATCAGCTAGCTAGTTTTTGCGAAAGCATGTCGGTGTGCAAGGCCTGTGGTAACAACCTAAAGGAGCCAGAGCATTTCCAATGGCCCAACCTCTGGGGGTGACGGCGCAGGTCCCACTGGATCGGAGCCTCTTCCAGACAGCTTTGAGGAGTTGGCAAAGATCTTGTGTCAGAGCCGAAGACCTCCGCAGGACTGAAGAGTTGTCAGTTGTCAGATAGAGTCGGATTTCGGCTCATGTTCAACGGAGGAGGCAGCCCTGGACTTGTTGAAGCCAGCCCTGCACAACCAGCAGGAAATCGATGAGGCCCGGAAGGTTTTGGCTGATGCCCAGAGCTTCTACATGCCCCAGGCTACCCCTCTGGAAGTGCCGATTCTAAGTCAGTTTGCTGGAGATGAAAGCATCGAGCTTGCGCCTGAGCCGCAGTCATCGAAGGACGAATGAAGACTCCTTCTAACTCCAAAAAACATTTCTCAGATGCAAACTCCTGGCTAGGACACGGACGTTTGCCCGCGCTTTTTTGGGGAAATGCGTGTTTTACTCGAAAAAGCACAGGATTTCGCAGGTTTCGGCTAAGGGGACTTTGGACATGAAACTTCGAAGTTCCGTGTTGAAGGTTTGGGGAGTACAGGTCAGGTTGGGGAGCATCAGCAAGCCCAGCAGAGGAGAGGAAGGTCTAGTCTACTTGAGAAAACCGAGGTTTTTTGAGTTTTCCACTTCAGGAGTGGTTGTTTCATTTGTGTGAACAACATTTCGAATGTGGCTTGGGGTAGCAAAGGGTTTAGGGTTCAGGGTTTAGGGGAGGAGGAGTCCTGTACACTTGTGCTCGGTACTTCTTGCGCTGTGCCAGCGAGACGAAAAATTGCCGTGCCTCCACTCTGCCTCAACTTTCTGCCCGAACCCCGTGGAAACCCCAAAAAAATGAAATTTGGGCCACCATTCAAGATGTAGGAAAAGAGACATGTTCACACAAATGAAACCACTCCTGAAGTGGAAAACTAAAAAACCTCTGTTTTTCTCGAGTAAACTAGACCTTCCTCTCCTCTGCTGTGCTTGCTGATGCTCCCCAACCTGGCCTGTACTCCCCAAACCTTCAACACGGAACTTCGAAGTTTCATGTCGAAAACCCCCTAGCCAAAACCTGCGAAACGTTGTTTTCGAGTAAAACACGCATTTCCCCGAAAAAGCGCGGGCAAACGCCCGGGTCTGACCCAAACTCCTGGTCACGACTTGGGATCGTTTTTGGCGCTGAGGTGTACAGAGAAGTCCAGCAAGGCATACTTCCGAAGTGGTGCTTTCCAGTGGCGGCTCATGGCCTCCACTTGTCCAACGATTTCTTGTCAGATCCTTCTTTGGGCAGCTGCTCGATAACGTCCTTGCTGCTCAGGCTGCAGGCCTTTGCCTTTGGAGTGTTGGCACCTCCAACTGCAGGAACTCCATCGCCTGCGATCACCCTTGGGAAGCTTGGCCCCTGCATGCCACCGGACCCTCCCGGTCGTTGGGGCCAGGTAGAGGTTCGCATCCTTGGCACGTCAGGGCGTGCCAGCTTCGAAGACGCCACACACCGCTTTAGCCCCCGGGTTTTACACTTGCAGTCGAAGTGTTTAGAGGAATTTTTGAGGTGACAGACATGTGCAACATTATCAACATTGTGCAAACATGTGGAGAAGTCTGCGGAGAGCTGAGGCTACCTGGGCCGGCTCCATGGGGTCCGGGCACAGCCACGGCCCGCACGCGGAGCGCTGCTTCGGGCCTACGTGGACACTGCCTCAGGAGCCATCCCAGAAGCGCTTCCGTGCGAGGTGTCTCTGGACACCATCCACCTTCTAAGCTTGCGGTTCACCGCGGGTGTCGCGCGCGAGCTGAAGCTGCAAGAGGTGGAGTTCGACGCCCTGCTAGCTACCATGTACATCCTCAAGGGTGCAGCCATCGGACCCACATTGATTGGTGGTCCCGACTTCTCCAGCCGCAAGTGCGCTGACTTCCGCTGCCTGTGCCTGGGTGCTTGGCTCCAGAAGGTGATCTCCTCTGTGCTGGACCTTGCGAGGCTGCTGGACGTGGCTCCGGCTGTGGAAAGCCGGCAGCTCTTCAACGGCCGCCTCTTCCTGTTCGTCCTGCGAAGCTTCCAGAGCAAGCCTAGACAGACTCCACAGACGGAGCCCTTGCCACAGGAGGTTCCGATGCCCTTGATGAGGAGGCGTGGCAAGATGGGGCCCCGGATCACAGAAGCAGACGTGAACGAGAAGGATGAAAAGGAGGCAAGCAAGCCGCACAATCCGCACATGAAACGCTTGGACCAAGATGAGGTGGATGTCGAGGTCCTCGAAAGCCTGCGGGGCAGCCCAGAGTTGAGAGCCTGGCGAGCAGATGTTCTGCGAGACCTGGAAGTGCAGCTCTTGCCATCGGTCGACCGAGTCGAGTCGGTCGAGGCGCCGTCCGTGACCGAGGTGACAGGATCTCGATCTGCTGAGCCTGCTGAGCTGCCCATCGCGGCACGTAAGGAGGAGCTCTGCCACTCCCTCCTGGAGAACCGGGTGACATGCGTGCAGGGCGAACCGGATCCGGCAAGAGCACGCAGGTGCCACAGTATCTGCTCGAATGCTTCAACAAGGCGCAGGTGGTTGTGACACAGCCCCGACGGTTAGCTGCCATCAATCTCGCCAAGCGAGTTGCAAACGAGCGTGGAGAGGAATTGGGCAAGGATGTTGGGTATCGGATTGGTGGAGACAGCGTGCCTGGCAGGCGACTGAATTTTGTGACTACCGGTTGGCTCCTGAGTGCTCTGGTAGGCAGCCCCGAGAAAATCGGCCAGCTTACGCATGTGGTTTTCGACGAGATCCATGAGCGCTCTGCCGATGCGGACTTCCTGAGCCTAGTGGTCCGCTTGCTGCTGCATCGCTTCGCCGATGTCTCTTTGGTCATCATGTCTGCGACTCTCCAGGCCGACGTTTTTCGGTCCTACTTCCGTGAGCTGCAACCGAGCTCCTCCGACATCCCTTTGGTGGCCGTTGGTGGCCGCTGCTTCGACGTCAAGAGAGTTCACCTCGACGAGGCAAGGGCAGGGACCAAACCTCCTGAAAACAGCTCGCCGCAGTATTGTAGTGGTGCTGTAATGTTGGGGAGGGCCCATGTCCTCGTTAAGCGGCCCCTCCTGAGTTTAGAAGCGATTCTGGTCCCCAGACAAGAAAAGGGAGGGCTAAGGGGTTGAGGGCTCGTTGGGCTGGAGATGTCAATGAAGCGTTGGCCTTGAAGCCACAACATCAGGCCTTTGAAACCCAAAGCATTATGAGCTCAGGTTTGAAGGGATTAAGCCTTTAAGCCGAAATCCAGAGCCCGAGGGCCAGGACATTGACGAGCGCCCGGAAAACTTCAAATGACGCCACCCCTTGCCCGGATTGTTTTGGGCCCGATTTCACATCCTCCTCCACTTTGTTTCTTCAACTTCATGCATGTGAGCATTGTGCTAGTGACTTGACATCCTATCAGGGAAACTGACCATTTTTCATGTGAATCCCATGAGAATTAGGGACTCTTTTTAGAATACAGAGGCAAAGAGTTGTCCGAGAGTCCTAGAGAAAATACAGAGGCAACAAAGGTTTTTCCTAGGGAAAACAAAGGAACCAAACATAAGTTAACGAAAAGAATGTGAATCCCATGCAAGCTAGTACGATTCCTACGTATTCAAATACAGAGGCAATAGTTTTTTTTGGGGAAAACCGAAAAGAATAACCAAATAAAAGTCGCAAAAACAAAGTCGCGAAAGAGCACCTCCACGAAAAGACCGTTATCCGCCCGGACAGTTTGACTTGAAAAGTGGGGGACCCCAAGCAGTCGTCCGATCCAACATTTTGACTTTCTGGCGAACCCCGCAGAGAAGCAGGTGCAAGAAGCCTCTAGTGTTGCAGGGCGCATGGCTGCCCGATCTGAGAGCCATTCAAAGCCGAGGTCTCTGGCTTCTGTGGGAAGCTGAGCAAGCCGGGGCAGAAAGCTCTGACAGAGCTCCTTTTGAAGTTCAAGGACTCCTGTAGTCAAGGGATGTGGGCTTTTTGGGCTTTTTGTCATGGCAAGTCAGTAGAATCACGATATTCACGAGACTTCTGACATGAGGGGCGCAAGCTGGACCACAACAGCAACTCCAGAGCCTTGTCGGACCTGCTGCCCATAAGCACACCTCTCATCCTCGACATTTTGGCATGTGTGGCCGAGCCTGGCTGCACCGTTCTGGTCTTCCTGCCGGGCCTTGAGGAGACTTCGAGTTGAGCAGAAGACATTACCCGCAAATGTTTCCTTAAGTGCAACTTCCAGCATGTCCACCCTGACAAGGAAATCACCAATCTCTACGACGACTGCCAGGCCACTCTTCATGCCAAGGATGGTGCGCTGGCTGAGTCGGACTCAGAGTCTGATTCTTCCGACCAGCCCTCGCCGACTTGCAATGGCTGCAATGGTCGCAATGGTCGAAGTGGTCGAGATGGTCTCAGTGGGCGTCTTCAGCTCAAGGCCTTTGCCATGCACTCGCAGATACCCATGGAAGACCAACTTGGGGTCTTCAAAGGCCCCGGTCCACAGACATGCCATCTGGTCTTTGCCTCCAATGTTGCCGAGAGCTCCTTGACCTTGCCCAACGTCTGTGCAGTGCTGGATCTTGGGCTGATCAAGCAGATGGTGTACGACACGCGGCTCCGCCTGTCCTACTTGGCGCTGCGCTGGACGAGCCAGGCCTGGGCCTGGAGCGACAGAAACGTCCTCTCAGTTTCGCCGTTTTGCGGTCCAAGCTGCAGCTTGAATCTTGAGCTCGCAGTCATTTAGGTGCAGTATAGTGCAGTGCTCTGTAGCATGTAGGGGCCCGTAGGGGAGGAGGATTTTTGCTACTTTGGCCAGTGACAGGCTTCGGCCCACCAGCGGGCCGGCCGTGCGGGTCGTACCCGAGAAGGAGTTGTGGTGCGTCTTTATCCTCGAAGCTTCCACTAAGGCTTTCTTCCTGTGCATGAGCTCTGTTTCAACCAGAGTCAGAGACTGCCTTCCTTTGAAGATCTGTGAAGGCATGGCGGCCTTTGACCGTCCTGAGACCTCCTCCCTGCCATTGCCGCGCTTGTATCTGCAAGCCAAGGCCGGTGCAACAATTTTCCGTTCCTGTCTGTTCTGCTTTGTGCCCGTCCACACATCTGCCAGTCGTCCTGTGCCCAGGTGCTGGCTTGCGACTTAAAGAACGACGACCTGGCCGAAAATGCCACTGCAGTGTCTATTTTGGAAGATCTCGTTGACCCGCCAGACCTGGCGATCGTTGAAGCTGCCAGGCAAGAACTTGCGGAAGGCTGTGCTCTCGCAGCCCCCGAGGAAGATGCGGACATCACTACACTCGGACGAATTTGCTTGCGGCTGCCTTTCGAACTGAGCCTTTGTCGCCTCATCTGGCTGAGCATTCACTGGGGCTGTGCTGCAGATGGCATCGTGCTGGCATGCAGCATGGCCATACAGGATCCCTTTTCGCAGCCGAACCCACTGGCCATCACCGATGCTGTGGTTAACAAACAGCAAGATGCATTTCGATATCCTTGTAAGTTCACAGAGGCTTTGCAGTTTTGTAGGTTTGTATGGAACAGCTTCTTTGGTTGCATCATGTTGCACCAAACAAGCCTACGTGCAAAGGATGCGGTGGATCTGGGCCAGAAGCTGCGCAGGAGCAACGAGAGCCGACGCTTCTTCGATGGTGGGAAGGCCTCCGAGCCGCTGGCGCTTCGAGCCCACGGATGACAAGCAACGTTTTTTCTTGCTCGGAGCTGTCGTTCGTTGTTGTGTACGTTTGAATCAAGGCTTGGGCGTGTTTTCATGGGGCTCCTTCAGGATTTGGGTCACACGGTGTGTTTTAGGGATACTAGAAATACATCCCTGCTTACATGCATGTCACCGAAGCAGCCCCAATTTCAAAAGCTTGTACCTGTTGTCAGTCAGAAGGAAGCCTGTTCCGCGAGTTCTACCAGTCGCTGTCGACCACGGATGGGCTCCTTGGCGGCCGCCGCGCCTGGATCAAGCACGCGAATCAGATGGCTGCGCAGCATGCCATCATCCCCAGGCGGTCTCAGCTCTGCTACATGTCATGACCGACATCTCTTACACCGCAAACAGAATGGATTCCTGAGAAGATCTCTTTCCCAGTGAAGGGTGAGCGAGACCTCAGGAGCAGAAGACTCAACAGAAGAACAGGAGAAGTGGAAGCGACTGCCAGAGGCAAGGAAGAGAGCCAGAGAGCGCTCTGGAGCAGGAGAGAGCAAGAGAACAAGAGAATGTGCGGCGGGTTTGACAGGTTCTCGTGCCAAACAGACCGCTCTTTGTCCTTTCAACATTGGTCTCGCCTATAAACCATGAGGAAGACAATCTGAAAAGACAGTCTGAAAAATGACGCTTGCACCTGACCTGGCTTCTGTCTCAGGCGCTTGGCCGAGTTCTGCGTCCAAGTGGATGATGTTGCCCAGCGACTCCTCGGCCTGCTGGTCCCAAACAGCCCCGTAGCGCGCCAAGTGCGCCTCCTACTGAAGGGCCTGGGGAGATCCGGTGTAGAGACTGACGAAGCTGGCAGCTTCCCCCAGGAGGAGCTGCAAGGGCGAGAGAGGATGAGAGAGGGAGATAGGAGACAGGCCTTTAGGTTGAATCAGGGCGATGCCTGTCCCTGTTTTTGCACTAGGACCCATGGAAGACAGGGCCAAGTGAGCCAAGTGCTTCACAGCGCCGCCGCCCTGGGCACGGTGCAGTGTTTGTGGGGGACGAGGACCTCCTGCGTGGACTTCTGGCATCTTGCTTCACGAGCCAACTCCTGACTTCGATGAGATCGGGCCAGAAGGAGCAGGATCTTGCCTGTCGCATGGTTCAGATCGCCGACCCTGCTCGCAGCGCACTATTTGATGTGGAGCACCTTGAGTGCGCGCCACTTATAGAGCCAGAGAACTTTCTTAAGTACCTGTCCCGGCTCAGTGGCGGCTGCACCTTCGAGCACAAGGGCAATGTCGGAAAGCTGGTCTGCATCCAGTGTGCAGAAGCTGCAGAAGCTTCCAAAGCTGCCTCCCTCGAAGAAGGAGAGGAAGGGACGCCTGAGCTGCCTATCGACGTCGCGAAGGAGTTGCACGTCTTTCATCAGTTCACCCGCGGCAAGGCTTCTGTTTCATCCCAGATGAACCTTGCCGACCTGGGAGGCTCCGCAGATGCAGGCCCCGTCCCGATTGTTGTCAAGAAGCCTTCGCATCCGTACCAGCTGAAATGGCAGGTCCATATACCCGGAGAGGTAGGAGCAAAAGGACGAGCCGCCTTGAAGAGAACTGGCCTACCTAATTCCTACCACCCTCTGGGATTCATGTGTGACATTTCCAAGCGCGATTGGCTGGCCTGCGCTAGCCATGTGCAGTATACCCAAGGCTCTATATGCTTCCTCTCTGGCTTGACGCTCCTGAAACCGTGGCAGGTGAAGCACTTCCTGCTGACGATCGATCCAGAGGCTGCCTCGCTGATGCTGAAGTGTGGCTCAAGCCCTGGCTCCGTCTGCGCTGTGAAGATGTATGGAAAAGAGCTACGTGTTGCCATCAGCGCAGAGGATCTGCGATTCATTGACAAGTTCCGGGCAACCATGAGAGATGCGTTGCTCAGTTCCGAGAAGCTTGGGGAGGCGCAACTTCAGAAGGAGCTTCATGATTTCTGCGCTCGTGGAGAGGTCTTGGACGATGGCAAGGAGGGACGCTGGTTTCAACCATTCGGCACTTCAGATAGCTTGCCCGGATTGCATCCACTTCTTCAGGACACAGTGGCCGATGCAACGGCAGATGCAGAGGAAAACGTGCTGGCCGCGATGCATATGATGGCCGTGAAGAAGAAGAAGGTCACCGCAAGAAAGCTGGCCAAGGAAATCGGTTGGCCCGAGACAAAGCTCGGTCCGATTGAGGTATTTCTGGGGCAGCGAAAACATCTCTTCTACAAGGAGGGCAAGAACTGGAGACCTGCATGACGTGTCATCACCTCGTCTTCGGTCGCAATGTTTGCGTCTGGTGTGTCCGGATCTGCACATGCGTTCTTGAAGACCTGGCTGGCCTGATTGGCCTCCCATATTTTCCCAGTGACGACTTCAGCACAGTATCGCAGTTCGAGCTTGCAGGTGCTGTGCCGAAAGTCAATGTACAGTGCGACGAAGGTGGGACATAGAAAAGAAACAGTTGTTGCATCTTCATTTGTCATCAATGGCTTTTCCATGTATCGAGTTTGGTAGGCCATCATTAACATTGTCAGTGTAGCGCGTGCTGTTTTATTTTCATTTCATGCGTGTTGCAAAAAATCGATATTAGTTTAAAGATTCCAAGAGGGTGAGATACATGTGATGAAAGAGCCTGCGAATTGGGGGAAATGAGCTCGCGAGGCAACAACGAATAAACGAGCTAGCGACTTTAAGTAATGAAGTAGTAAATGCCCCAACAAAGGTCTTATAATGAGGGTTAATAGGGGTCTTTTAATAATATACTCATAGTCGCTCCCTTTGGTCCATATAATGCCATTATTGCTGGAGTTACGCTGTGTGCGAATGCACCTCATGCCATTCAAAAACCAGACATCTTGCTCGGTGACTCGCAGGGTCAAAGCATGCCAAACCGATTGCAAATGCGGCTTGTCACGGCGAAGTATTCAGATTCAGGGCAGAAGCTCCCTACACCCTAGGCAGGAACAGGGCTGTTACAAGCAGGCGAGGCTGGGCTGAAAGCATATGGACAGTGTGACCTAGCTTGTTGCAAGCCGCCATGGGTTCTGTCGAAAGCTGTTGCGGTCCTCGCCAGCGCGTCCAGGAAGCTCCTCCCAAGGATTGGCTGGACAGTGCAGCCCTGCAGCCAGCTGCTCAAGAAGCTCAGGGACACAGGCGGGAGGCCGTTGCAAAACAGCAGACAGAAAGAGCCTTGGAGGGGATGCTTAGAGATCCATCTAGACTTAGTCAGACATGTCTTTGAGCGCAGGTCGCCTGGAGCCCACAGCCTGACGGAGCAAGAGGATGCGCTAACACAAGGGAAGCCTCTTCATTCAGCCGATGGTGCAGCGAGTTGCCCTGAGGATTCTGAACCGCGTGGTGTTGAAGAGGAGCAGGAGGAGGTTCGTTTGGTGGAGCGAAGCACCTTCATGTCCTACGAGCCGGTGGCTCCCAGGCTTTTGGCATTACAGCGCTCGCGCAGCGAGCCTGCGCTCCTCAGCGCTTGCGAGAACGGAGAAGATGCGGGGCAGGAGCCCCAGGAGCCTCAAAAGCCGCAGGAGCCGGAGCCCCAGCCGGCTCAGCCGGCTCAGCCGGATCCGGGCAAGGCATTTGAGCATATCCACGCCTACTTGCCGTGCCATCCGACGGATAGCCCCTTCGAACCGCCTGCCTACGGGGAGCTGCCTGCCTGGGCCTGGGAGCGGAGGGCGGTGCGGCGCCGCACCCCGCGCTTCAAGCTGCTGAACGCGGTCCGGCAAGCCAACGGGGAGATCAAATGGGTCCCGTTCCCATGAGAGCTTTGAGCTCGCTTCAACGGGTGGCGCAGATGTGCTGCTGCGGCAGCACTTGGAAGCTTTGGGGCAAGTGTAGAGAGTCCACGCAGGTGCGCGCCTCTGAGTTGCATGCTTGGGAGAAGGCTGTCGCGACCGCCATGGATGAAGAATGGGCCCGGCAAGCTCCACATCCGTCTTCCAGTTATTCCACCAGCTTCGCATCGCTTGATTGCTAGCAACAAAAGACCATTCTGGACACAGCGTTGCTCGGAGCAGCTTCTTTGAGTGAGAGAACCGGAGCATCCTGGCGTCGGTGGACAATGTTCCCCCGAAGTCCGAGCAGGGTTCCCACGCTGGTAGGTTTACGCGCGTGAGGATACATCTGTGGGACCTGCAACCTTGGCTTGCGAGATGTCATCCACTACTTGCCGTTCCTACTTGCCGCACAGACACAAGCCTCTCCAGCGCCTGCAGCGATCATCAATCAAAATTGGACCAGGATGCATTTGTCTGGCTAAAGAAGGAAGCAGCAACGAGTCCTACATGGCGATAAACTGAACTGTACACGACTTGCGCTGTGACGATGTATGGAAAAGAGCTACGTGTTGCCATCAGCGCAGAGGATCTGCGCTTCATTGACAAGTTCCGGGCAATTATGAGAGATGCGTCGCTCAGCTTCGAGAAGCTTGGGGAGGCGCAACTTCAGAAGGAGCTTCATGATTTCTGCGCTCGTGGAGAGGTCTTGGACGATGGCAAGGAGGGACGCTGGTTTCAACCATTCGGCACTTCAGATAGCTTGCCGGATTGCATCCACTTCGTCAGGACACAGTGGCCGATGCAACGGCAGATGCAGAGCAAAATGTGCTGGCCGCGATGCATATGAGCTCGGTCCGATTGAGGTATTTCTGGGGGGAGAAGGTGGGACATAGAAAAGAAACAGTTGTTGCATCTTCATTTGTCATAAATGGCTTTTCCATGTATCGAGTTTGGTCGGCCACCATTCACATTATCAGTGTAGCGCGTGCTGTTTTATTTTCCTTTCATGCGTGTTGCAAAAAGTCGATATTAGTTTAAGGATTCCAAGAGGGTGAGATGAATGTGATGAAAGAGCCTGCGAATTGGGGGAAATGAGCTCGCGAGGCAAAAACGAATAAACGAGCTAGCGACCTCTAATAATGAAGTAGTAAATGCCCCAACTACGGTCTTATAATGAAGGTTAATAGGGGTCTTTTAATAGTATACTCATAGTCGCCCCCTTTGGTCCATATAATGCTATCATTGCTGGAGTCACGCTGTGTGCGAATGCACCTCATGCATTCAAAAACCAGACATCTTGCTCGGTGACTCGCAGGGTCAAAGCATGCCAAACCGATTGCAAATGCGGCTTGTCACGGCGAAGTATTCAGATTCAGGGCAGAAGCTCCCTACACCCTAGGCAGGAACAGGGCTGTTACGACCAGGCGAGGCTGGGCTGAAAGCATATGGACAGTGTGACCTAGATTGTTGCAAGCCGCCATGGGTGCTGTCGAAAGCTGTTGCGGTCCTCGCCAGCGCGTCCAGGAAGCTCCTCCCAAGGATTGGCTGGACAGTGCAGCCCTGCAGCCAGCTGCTCAAGAAGCTCGGGGACACAGGCGGGAGGCCGTTGCAAAACAGCAGACAGAAAGAGCCTTGGAGGGGATGCTTAGAGATCCATCTAGACTTAGTCAGACATGTCTTTGAGCGCAGGTCGCCTGGAGCCCACAGCCTGACGGAGCAAGAGGATGCGCTAAAACAAGGGAAGCCTCTGCATTCAGCTGATGGTACAGCGAGTTGCCCTGAGGATTCTGAACCGCGTGGTGTTGAAGAGGAGCAGGAGGAGGTTCGTTTGGTGGAGCGAAGCACCTTCATCTCCTACGAGCCGGTGGCTCCCAGGCTTTTGGCATTACAGCGCTCGCGCAGCGAGCCTGCGCTCCTCAGCGCTTGCGAGAACGGAGAAGATGCGGGGCAGGAGCCCCAGGAGCCTCAAAAGCTTCAGGAGCCGGAGCCCCAGCCGGCTCAGCCGGCTCAGCCGGATCCGGGCAAGGCATTTGAGCATATCCACGCCTACTTGCCGTGCCATCCGACGGATAGCCCCTTCGAGCCGCCTGCCTACGGGGAGCTGCCTGCCTGGGCCTGGGAGCGGAGGGCGGTGCGGCGCCGCACCCCGCGCTTCAAGCTGCTGAACGCGGTCCGGCAAGCCAACGGGGAGATCAAATGGGTCCCGTTCCCATGAGAGCTTTGAGCTCGCTTCAACGGGTGGCGCAGATGTGCTGCTGCGGCAGCACTTGGAAGCTTTGGGGCAAGTGTAGAGAGTCCACGCAGGTGCGCGCCTCTGAGTTGCATGCTTGGGAGAAGGCTGTCGCGACCGCCATGGATGAAGAATGGGCCCGGCAAGCTCCACATCCGTCTTCCAGTTATTCCACCAGCTTCGCATCGCTTGATTGCTAGCAACAAAAGACCATTCTGGACACAGCGTTGCTCGGAGCAGCTTCTTTGAGTGAGAGAACCGGAGCATCCTGGCGTCGGTGGACAATGTTCCCCCGAAGTCCGAGCAGGGTTCCCACGCTGGTAGGTTTACGCGCGTGAGGATACATCTGTGGGACCTGCAACCTTGGCTTGCGAGATGTCATCCACTACTTGCCGTTCCTACTTGCCGCACAGACACAAGCCTCTCCAGCGCCTGCAGCGATCATCGATCAAAATTGGACCAGGATGCATTTGTCTGGCTAAAGAAGGAAGCAGCAACGAGTCCTACATGGCGATAAACTGAACTGTACACGACTTGCGCTGTGACGATGTATGGAAAAGAGCTACGTGTTGCCATCAGCGCAGAGGATCTGCGCTTCATTGACAAGTTCCGGGCAACCATGAGAGATGCGTTGCTCAGCTTCGAGAAGCTTGGGGAGGCGCAACTTCAGAAGGAGCTTCATGATTTCTGCGCTCGTGGAGAGGTCTTGGACGATGGCAAGGAGGGACGCTGGTTTCAACCATTCGGCACTTCAGATAGCTTGCCCGGATTGCATCCACTTCTTCAGGACACAGTGGCCGATGCAACGGCAGATGCAGAGGAAAACGTGCTGGCCGCGATGCATATGATGGCCGTGAAGAAGAAGAAGGTCACCGCAAGAAAGTGGCCAAGGAGATCGGTTGGCCCGAGACAAAGCTCGGTCCGATTGAGGTATTTCTGGTGCAGCGAAAACATCTCTTCTACAAGGAGGGCAAGATCTGGAGACCTGCATGACGTGTCATCACCTCGTCTTCGGTCGCAATGTTTGCGTCTGGTGTGTCCGGATCTGCACATGCGTTCTTGAAGACCTGACTGGCCTGATTGGCCTCCCATATTTTCCAGGTGACGACTTCAGCACAGTATCGCAGTTCGAGCTTGCACGTGCTGTGCCGAAAGTCAATGTACAGTGCGACGAAGGTGGGACATAGAAAAGAAACAGTTGTTGCATCTTCATTTGTCATAAATGGCTTTTCCATGTATCGAGTTTGGTCGGCCACCATTCACATTATCAGTGTAGCGCGTGCTGTTTTATTTTCATTTCATGCGTGTTGCAAAAAATCGATAGTAGTTTAAAGATTCCAAGAGGGTGAGATGAATGTGATGAAGAGCCTGCGAATTGGGGGGGAAATGAGCTCGCGAGCATAGTCGCCCCCTTTGGTCCATATAATGCATTCAAAAACCAGACATCTTGCTCGGTGACTCGCAGGGTCAAAGCATGCCAAACCGATTGCAAATGCGGCTTGTCACGGCGAAGTATTCAGATTCAGGGCAGAAGCTCCCTACACCCTAGGCAGGAACAGGGCTGTTACGACCAGGCGAGGCTGGGCTGAAAGCATATGGACAGTGTGACCTAGATTGTTGCAAGCCGCCATGGGTGCTGTCGAAAGCTGTTGCGGTCCTCGCCAGCGCGTCCAGGAAGCTCCTCCCAAGGATTGGCTGGACAGTGCAGCCCTGCAGCCAGCTGCTCAAGAAGCTCGGGGACACAGGCGGGAGGCCGTTGCAAAACAGCAGACAGAAAGAGCCTTGGAGGGGATGCTTAGAGATCCATCTAGACTTAGTCAGACATGTCTTTGAGCGCAGGTCGCCTGGAGCCCACAGCCTGACGGAGCAAGAGGATGCGCTAAAACAAGGGAAGCCTCTGCATTCAGCTGATGGTACAGCGAGTTGCCCTGAGGATTCTGAACCGCGTGGTGTTGAAGAGGAGCAGGAGGAGGTTCGTTTGGTGGAGCGAAGCACCTTCATCTCCTACGAGCCGGTGGCTCCCAGGCTTTTGGCATTACAGCGCTCGCGCAGCGAGCCTGCGCTCCTCAGCGCTTGCGAGAAAGGAGAAGATGCGGGGCAGGAGCCCCAGGAGCCTCAAAAGCTTCAGGAGCCGGAGCCCCAGCCGGTTCAGCCGGCTCAGCCGGATCCGGGCAAGGCATTTGAGCATATCCACGCCTACTTGCCGTGCCATCCGACGGATAGCCCCTTCGAGCCGCCTGCCTACGGGGAGCTGCCTGCCTGGGCCTGGGAGCGGAGGGCGGTGCGGCGCCGCACCCCGCGCTTCAAGCTGCTGAACGCGGTCCGGCAAGCCAACGGGGAGATCAAATGGGTCCCGTTC